CAAGACACAATGGAATTCAACAAGACGTATATTTATTCGGCTATAACATTGACACTGAAGCCAAAAATTAGCTTTCAAGTCAGGTGTTGAGCTATATCCTTAACATCTAAACAACACATTAACTCCTTCCAACCCAACAAGACAACTTTCTCTAGCACCCATCTCAAATATGCAAGTATGGCCTCCACTGAATCTCCAACAAAAGCCCTAGAGGCTGACAAGTCTTGCAACATATTCCCTTCCCTCTCTGCAACACCCCCAAATCCAACCTTGCCCCTTGAATAAATATGAGCACGGACAATTATACACAAATGCCCTACCCTTTTGAAAATATTCTCTTCAAGGGTTTGGTTGGTCATCAGATTACCAATATATCCCACAGTCTCAGTCAAAACCAATGAGTTGAATTCTAGCCATTCATTCAATGCTCCATACACTAGTTCTTTTTCCCTCATATTTTCCTTCCTGAAAGATAATAGACTAATAATATATAGTAATAAATTTAATTAAAAGTCAAATTTAAATAATTTTTAAACCAAAAGATTTGGTTTGTGTGTGAAACTAATAATGATTGCATAATAATGTAACAATGAGAAATTACTATAGATGCACTAACATGTGTTTCTAGTTCTAATAATTTTTTATATTTAGAATAAAATAATTATAATGAACAAAACTAAACATATTAGTAAAGTTGTTGTAGGCAGACATAGCGATTAAACATTCATATCTTTTCAATAGGTATGCATGCACTCAAATTGAATTGTCATACTTTAAAAAACAACGTAACAAAAGTATGATATTTTATTGCATAAGTATATACTTTTATTATAAAAAATATGACAGATCGATCCGCCTGATGACTATTCCATCTCATACAAGAATTTATGTGAACTGACATTTCGACTTAACAAGTATTTGATCAATAAATTTTAATCAATAAAAAAAATTAAATCTAATTTGAGATATCATATGATATATAAATACAACTTGAAGGTAAAAAAATAATTTTTATACTTAGTGACAAATGTTAGACAAAAAATTTCTATTTACATCATCAACTCTCATTTTCACGTATGTATATATGTTTAATTATTCGACCAAGTTTATGATATTATGGTTCTTATACATCAGGCATCGGAGGAGATTTCAAAGTTATGGAGTTATGAACTTAAGATTATTCATCTTGTGTAACTACACATTGGTTGAATTTTACACTAAGTTATTCAACCGCAATTTTTTTAGCATTTAGATTTATTTGTATCTGAACCTAATCTTGTCATCTTTTTGTGCTCAACCCTACCCCCAATTACCGTCGCTAAAAAATTTCCGCCGCTTGCACTTAATTTCCGGTTGAATCGCCTTCCCCGGCGATGGCAATTCTCTTGCTAGCGGTCGTCTTCGACCGCTCGGCCCGACCATAACGTCTTGTGTCTCCATGGACTCTGCAGGTGCCGCGAGATGTGGCTTCCCTTCGGTCGCTGGTCCATCTTCGGTCGCCGGCGTGGCTGCGTTGGGCGATGTCGCACCCTCGATCTGCGTCTGGTGTCTTCTTCTTGGTCGCTGGAGGTCATCGATTAGGAGTGGGCAGCCCTCGCATCTTTTCTGTTCGGAGATTTGGAGGTATTCTCGGTCGGCTTCGCTGCTCAAGGTGGGGTTTTCGGGGGTGCTTTGGGCTCCAGTCGTCAGAGATCTGCAGTGGTTTAGGGAGGCGTGTAAGATTGCGGGTGGGGCAGAACTTCGGTTGCTGCGGCACTTCAGTTGCGGCTGTCGGGGTAGAGGGACCGGCCTACTCTCACCCTCCTCTCTTCGGCTAGTGGTGTTAGGCGGAGGGGGATCTGGTTTTCTCGAGCTCGGCTAGTGGTGTTAGTCGGGCTTGGGCGGGCTGGTGTGGGGGCGGGTCGTTTTCTCTCGGTTGTTGATGGATTGATTTGGGGCTCGGTTTGGCTACTGTATAGGCGTTCGCGCAGTTTCGGTAGTGTTATCTCGGGCCTGGATTATATCTTGTGTCGATTGTTCTCTGCTGGTTGGGTTTGTTAGTTTGTCGGGGAAGGGCTGTCTGTGTTTTTTAGTTTGTGTTGCTTTCGTTTGTGTTGTCTGTGTCTGTTTTTGTCTCGTGTTTTGTTGTAGTTTGTTCGAGTCTGTGTTCGGTGTGTTTGTTCG